AAGGCAGGTAAAAAGGTAGAGCTACACCTGCTGTTTTATGGTGCAAGGCAGTAGGAAAGCAAAAATTTTCTGAGTTTCTGCGTTTATGGCCCCTCCCTCAGGCCATGGGAAGGAGGACCCTATCCTGACAGAATTTGCCTGGAACCAGCAGATTCCAGGTGAGGGAGGGCCCAGGTGAGCTGCTGGCCAGGTGCCTACAGGAATATGCTCGTTGAGACATTTAATATTCCCCAGGCAAAAGCTCCTGCAAGATTCCCAGGAGTCTCTGAGTAACCAGATAGTCCTTGCCAGCCCCAGAATGAAGAAATTTATTCCTAGCAGTGGATGAGATGGCAATGGCAAGACGGTGACATTGCAATGCTTCCTGCTAGGCCAGGCTGGAGGGCGAGGAGACATGCCTCTGCAGGCACTGGGTGCTATGGCCAGAAATACAGAAATGCAGGGGCCTACTACCTTCCTGGCTTTTCTATCAGCTTTTCTTGCGAGTGTTTTCAGGATTTTTCTACTGAGGACAGGAATTCTGGAGCTCAGAAAGCCTGTAAGTCAATTCATCATTGAGGCCTCTGGACAGTGTCCATGACGCTGGTTGATTCCAGTCCCCAAACAAGTGTGGGTTATGTGTCTGCTGAAGGCCCACTGCTGAGTTATTACTCCTGCTTGATCTAACACGAAACATTATACCTCCTGTCTCTCCGCCCTCCCCATGGCTGTGCAGCTCTGCAGATGCCCAGCCCTCTATGTCACCCCAGGGCCTCCCACTTCCTATGCCCTTGGTACTCCCCCATAGGCGAGGGGCTTGGAAAGCTTTTCCCATGTACAGCAATGCCAGCGAGGCGTGAAAAGCAGGCAGTGGTCAGTGCAGAGCTGTGGGCGAGGGCCCCAGGTACCACAACACACTCAACCCTGTCAGATCTCCGTGGCGGGTGGGAGTGGCAGGGGCAGCGGGGAGAATGAATGCGATCTCCCATAGACTCCTAGGCCAGGCTGAGCAGAAGGGTGGCTCGGGCTGGTCCATGGGACCAAAGAGGCTGGCCAGGCAGAGAACTGGCACCACTGCCCACCGAGGGCTCAGGACAGCCCTTCATGAGCAACCCCTGTGTGAGAGCAACAGCACCCCTAGGTGAACTGGGAGGGCTGTCCTGCTGGCCAGAGGAGGGGGCAACCCACACTGTCTACTGGCTACAGCAGCAGGTGGGGGTGGGGTGAGGGATGACACATGTCTACTCCTCCACCCTTCCCTGCCCTGCTCTCTGTCCCAGGAAACCACGTCTCTTGAGATCCCTTATCTCTGGCGTCCAGGTAGATTTTGCCATTAGAAAGCATCTTCAGAAGACAGGAAACCAGAGAGGAGAACAGTGGAAATTCATACCCCGAGCTCTGCTCGCTGTGGCACCTCTGTCAACAGCCATGTCCCCACCGAGGCTTTGGCTTCCACCCACAGCACCGTCTCTCTGTGGTACTCTGCTGGACAGCCCCAGGCCCTGGAATCTCAGCACCCACCTTCCTCCTCTTGGCAATCCCACCTTGGGCATGGCAGTGCATCGTGCTGTTGCTAATCTCTCAGTTGCCTCAGTGTCCCCTTAGATTGGCTTCTGCCACCTGTTTACAGTCCCTAAGTCCTCTGAAGAGTCTAGAACAGCATCTCTCCCATTTAGCTTACAAATGAGTCACCTGATTCAGTAGGTCTGGAGCATTTCTAACGAGCTCCAAGTGACACTGATGTTTCTGGTCCTTGGACAACATTTTAAGAAGAAAAGACCAGGGCAGTTTTTATTTTCCTAAAATAAAGTGCTGGGCACTCTGCTGGGCAGTGGGTCACAAAGGTGAAACGAATAGACCTGTGTTCAGTCCAGACAGGGAGACAGACTCATTTAGATGGCAATCACTATAAATGACACTATTGGTGAGTGCTCCAAAGGATGGACAGGAGGCTGTGAACAGTCGGGTCCTCAGGATGGCTTCCTTGACACCTTTTTGAGATAATGTTTTAGCTGAAATGCAGGGAAGGGGTGGGGAAAGTTTTTAGCAGCAGTGCATGAGCAGAGGCTGGGTGACAGAGGAACTATGTATGTATATTCTGCGGTCTGAGAGGAAGTCAGCAGGGCTAGAGCACAGTGAGAACTCCTGGTGATTGGGCCCAGAAGCTCAGGTTCCCAGGCACTGAGCTGCCTCCTCCTTCCTCAGCAAGAGGGGCTGTACCTGAATTTGACTACCCATGGGAATTGGCCTCCCCTTCCCCTACGGCCTGAACCCAGCTTCCAGTAAGGTCTCCAGGTGCTGGCAGCTGGTGCCCTCAGACACCTCTCTGCTCAACTGGCAGCCACACCCAGACTGTCTGGTGCCTGAGTCTGGCTGCTGGTCCCCCAAAACAAGGCCGTCTGGTCATGCATTAAAAAGGGGCAGTAGCAGGGGCAGGTCCTTGCCCTGGCACACAACCCCAGATATGATGGCAGCTTGGCCCCCACAGACGGTCACTGAGGGGGACAGCATGCCTCTGCTTGCTGACTTTTGGAGTTTTAATTTCCCCAAGAAACTCACATCTTAACCCCATACACAGTGATGTTTAGTATTTTCCTCCTCCCTCTCACCACATTAGGGCTTTTCTGTGTCTTATGAGCAATGAAAACCATTGAAGGGTTAAACATGGGATTGTCTAACAGAATTTGTTTCCAAATACATTTAGGGCTGCAATGTGAAGAATGAGCTGTAAGGAGAGGGGAGAGAGAAAGGGGAGACCATGGGGAGAGGGGTTGCATATGGGTATGGTAGCCCTGTTATCAGCTCAGGTGTCCCTGGGGCCATAAGTACAGCAAGAGCCATGGCTGGCTCTGAATGCCAAGGTCAGGCTGCCCTTGGAGACTGAGAAAGGAAGAGATGCCAGACCTGTCTCTGAGAGAGTGGGCACTAGTTGGGGAATAGGTGACTATGAAGATTTGAAGACCTCTTCCCTTTTTGTCCCTGCATTGAGATTCTGGGGTGGAGTGGAGCCCATGGGATGGTTGATGGGGCAGCCAGGAGGGTCATCGAAAGACTGAGCCACACTTGGGGAGAGACATAAGGGGCAGAGTGGGGAGCAGAAGTGGGGTTTAGAGGCAGGGACAGAGCTGGGTACCTGGGAAGACAGGAGCCACCTAGTCTGAGAAAAGCAATGGAAGGTCAGGGGCTCCCCAACCTGTGGCTTACAGCATGAACAGCTTGGGCAGTGGTGGTCCTGGGGTATGGTTCAACACTCTGTCCTTGGAAGCTGAGGCTGCCCACACAGCCCTCCTGGCTCAGCCTGGATAACAGGCTCTGGGCAGGTGTAGGGGTGCCCAGATGAGCCTCTGTGTATGTGTATGATGAGCAAGTGGGCCATGGTGGGCCCTCCACAGAGGAGCTACAGCACAGGAAAAAATGGAGGAACATCACCGTCACCCCTGAGGGTGGCTAGGTGTCATGGGGAAAGGACACCATAAGCAGATATGGGCTTGGGAAGGCTCCAGGCCTGGGGATTCAATTCTTTGGGATTTTAGGCATTGCTTTAAGGCCTGTGGTGCTCTGGGTGTGTGATCCCTTTTTGACTATCCATCTGACAAACACTTCAGGCTGGTGCTAGCTACTTGACCTGCATTCCCTCCTAATTATCATGTTGAAAGTGAAGTCTGATGTAGAATGGGACTTTGAGTTGGTTCAGAATTGCTTCCAGCTGAGATTAATAGTTAAATGCCCATATTCGAAAGGCTGCAGTTGGTAAGTCCATGCTGGGCTTTAAGGAGAGGAAGTGAAGCCAGTCCTTCAGCCTCACCCACCACCCAAGGTGAACCTCTGTAAATTGAATACCTTGAACGGAAGAGAATGTGCATCGGAACAGCGAGTTGGCACCTGTGGGAAGTATAGCTTCTCTCTGAGTGTGGGTGCAGCCATCCCCAGCCCAAATCTGCAGCTCTAGGAAAATTGTGAAGACTGCGGGGGTGGGGGACCCCTGAAAGAAGAGATGACATATTTCTCCACTCAAGGGCTCCACGAATCTCAGCATTGGGCCTCAAGACACAGCTCCCAAGTGGGACATTCCTGGAAGCTAGGAGACCCCCCCCCTAGAAAGTATACACACCTTCCACCCTCTTCAGCTCTGGGGCTCAAAGCTTCTGCTCCTGCTGCCTCTTCCAAGGGGGCAAAATGCACACCTGGGGTCCCCTCCACTTCTGACATTCACTTGTCTTGGGCCAGGACTTCAGCAGACCTAGGTAAGCTCCCGGGTCTCTATCAACTTTGTGTTTTTGATGCTTTTTTTTTTTTTTTTAACATTTATACTTTAACAAAAAGGTTTCATGATCTGATATCACCTTGATTGTAAGATCTCTCTCTCTCTCTTACACACACACACACACGCACACACAAACACACACACACACACACACACACAGGCTCATGTGGGCTGGATGTGATTGTACGGCACCCTGTGGAAAGGGTGAAGTTGGGGCTCCAAAAGTTCACCTGCCCACTGGACAGCCCTGGGATTTTGGGGGGTGGCAGAAGCTGTTCTTGATGAACTCAGGGAAGAAAGAGAGTCCAGTCAGAAGGGAGGACGAAACCTTCTGCTCAATGTCCAGGAGCCTGAGCCTGGCAATTTCCCCCCACACACAATTACACACACACACACACACGCACACACACACACACACACACACACACACTCCACTATCATCAGGGACCTGTGTCTGAGGGGGCGGTGGCACCGGGCAACTGGGTATGTGTATTCTCAGCTCTTAAAGGTGGAAACAGAACCTGTGGCTCTGAGTCACCACAACCGTGACACTCTCTTTTCCTTTGTGCTTCATTGGACACAGATCAGTCACCAGCCCCAAGCTGGGTCCATGCTGGTCGCAGGAGCAGGAGGCTGGCTAACCAGACAGGAGTGCTGAGTATGGAGGAAAGCTGGGAGGCTGGGCACAGCTAACATCCTGAGTGCTCTGTGCTCTTGACGTCTCTGTGTGCTCAAGAAAGGACCACCTTACCTCAGGATGAACCTTCCCGTGGGGCCAAGAGTCCCACTGGACCCAGCCCAGGAGCCCAGCTGCATGGCCACCCCAGCCTCACCCAGCAGGTGGGACAGTTCCCCGAGCAGCGCCTCCAGCCTGGACCAACCTCTGCCCATCAGTCCCACGGTAAGCCTGGGGCAAGGGTGTGCAGGCATATAGCCTTCCCTTCCCTATCCTGATCCTTGACCTGGAGACACACAGGGGCTTAGACAGGGAGATAAAAAAGGCCTGTGCTCTACTGTGGGGTTTTGGGCAGAGGTCAGTGGACCTCTCTGAGCCTGTCCTACACATATAGGCCACTAGAGGAGAGTGTGGACCATATTTTTCCTTGAAGAGAGCATCCGAGGAATAGAAAGACCAGTCTTGAAGGACAAAGGGCTGGAATGGCCCAGGTCTGCCCTTGGCTACATCCACTCTTTTCTGAGAGTGGTTAGATACCCCCATGGAGCCTTCAAGAGAAGAAGGCATACACTAGACTCCTGGATTTGTCCAGCCCATAATGGGGCATTGGGTGTGTTCTGTTGCCTCCATCATTCTAGTCAGGATCCCAGGGCCATATCCACCAACTCCACCATTAACTGGGGAAGACCGAGGGTACCCTCTGGACCCTGGAATGCTGGCCTAGGTTCTGGACAAAATGGGAAGGTTCTGGTGGCTATAGGGGTTAGGGCAGGATAAAAATAAACCACTCCCTTGAAAAGAAGCTGGGAAAGGAGGTGTCTTTAAATCTCTTTGTACTGGCTTCACAGTATCATACCCTCCTGTAGTGACTCTGGAAAGCCTAAACTAACTTTTTTTTTTTTCTTTCTTTCTTTCTTTCTTTCTTTCTTTCTTTCTTTCTTTCTTTCTTTCTTTCTTTCTTTCTTTCTTTCTTTCTTTCTTTCTTTCTTTTTTTCTTTCTTTCTTTCTCTCTTTCTTTCTCTCTCTCTCTCTCTCTCTCTCTCTCTCTCTCTCTCTCTCTCTCTCTCTCTCTCTCTTTCT